ACTGCAGAATGGGGAAATGTAGTAAAACACTTGTGGACCAAGATCAAGATAAGACCATTTCCCTCCTTGCTGGATCTCCTGCAGTCTATCTTCATATACTCCGCAGGAAATTTTTTGGTGCACCTATATCCAAAGCGACCTTTGCAAAACCCAGGTGGAATAGCTTTCTGCGAACCACTGTCTCATTTAACATGTGTCAGCGAGTTCCGCTATCATCAAAGCCCACTTTTTCTCTTTCCAAAGAGCTCTCTGCCTCGCCTTGTCCCAGGAGTAAATGATGATTTGTACCCTCCTTTGCCCAAGTTCTGGGGATGTCTGTAGATTCGCAGGCCTCTGCAGCATGCACAGCCTCCAAGGAATTCTTCCTCAAAGCTCACACTGATTACTAATGGTTAACTCCCCTCTACTGAATGTTGGGCACATCTGCATTAATACGTGTTCATTTTATTATGTCCTCTCCTGTTTTGCTCATAACTTTCAAAACAGTTTCTAAAAGCTTTAGCTGTCTACCTTGATGTGACTGACGTGTGATGCTCAAACAGACAAAAATCCCCTTATAAGAATAAGGCATGCTTTCACAATCACTCTGTCTGCCTGGCGGGGGTGTTGGGAAACATCTCTAGTACAGTGTGCGCAACTGCTCCGTAAGACCTATCTACTCCTCAGTCCTCTCTCATGTGTTAATAGCTCTGCCACAACTGTAAAAGGGAAAAAGCTCAACAGGAAAGGCAGACACGACCAGTTCCTTCCTTAGACAGTCTCGCTGACTTCAGCTCTGCCACTCTGAGCCACCAATGGCACTGTGAAAAGGAACTGAGGGGAAGTAAGTTGGGGCAGTGAGCTGTGCACTCACAGCGTACTTGTTGCAGAACAAGACATAAGCCCAGGCAAGTCAGAGCATCACTGAAGCCTATGAACAGCAACAGGGTGTTGCCCAACTCCAAAAGCAGCAGCAGGCAGATCTGTGGTGATCACAGAATCACCTGCACAGAGCAGAGTGAGATGGTTCTGAATTATTCCCTAGCTCATAAGGGCTTACCAAGACAGCCTATGCAGGCTGACATGGACCAGCTTCTGTTTCTGTCCCTCTTGTTGCTGTTTTTTGGTACCTCCTTTGTCAGTAACATTTTAACAAAGATTTTTTCAAGTACTCTTTTCTACTCATTTTTTTTTCCAATGAAAAGTGAGCACCTTCTGTAACATCATGTCTGTCTCTAGCAAAATCTGTAATGAATATAAAAAGCCACAGATAAACTAAAAATTCAGCCCAACTATTGTCTGTCCTACTACCAGATAATGTGTGGCTTCCTGTAATTTTGTGCTAATTTTTTTTAGCAAGCTACAAGAAAGCAGCTCTACCAAGGAGTTGGGTCGCAGTTCTCAAAGTACTGAAAATCAGACACTCCATTTTTTTTTAGATTCTAGGATAGTGTGGTGCAGAATATTCTCATGACAGCAGCTATTGGGAAGAGCGGTTCTGTGCCCCCTGTGATCTCAGATGCTGTCCTGGATTCTTGACTAAAATGCAAGATCAGACATGCAGATGACTAGGGGCTCATTCTGGTTCTACTAATGATTTTGTCTGCAACCTTGGAACAATTTTTTGTCAATTTCCACATGAGTAATATGAGAAATTCCAATTAATGATTCTGTAAAGCACTATGATAAAAAATTAAATGCACAAGATACTTTCAGAACAGACCATACAGCTGCTACTGCAATAGTCTCTGTTGTAGAACAGTAACCACTATAAACTCAATGCAGCAAATTGGGTTAAAAGAGAATTGGGATTTTGGCCAAGCCAGAAAAAGTGGCACCAACGATTTGGCAAATATTTGCACATTGTACTTTGAGGCTTACTTTCACGAAGGGTCCACAGGATATCTTTGGACAAAATTGATGTCTAAGAGTAAACTGGAGCTAACAACACTAAATATTTCAGAAAAGAGAACGCAGCTCTATTCACATTTCCATTGTGTTGAAATCTTCTAAAAGCCACACCGAGAATTACATTATTTTTCCCAATGAAAGTGTTGTTGCTTTTTTTTTCCTCTGAGTGCAAAGGAGCTAGCTCACTACAGGACACACACACACCATTCTGAGTGCCTGAATTGACTCATTGTTGAAGAACATCTAAACCATAATTTATTGTTTACATCACTGCAGGACTCTGAAGCCATATTTTTCATAGGCCATATACTTTGAGTCATGCAATCTCTGTGGAAGTGTGCTATGTATTCCTGAGTTATTTGATACAGCTTTGCATGGAAGCATCCTCTAGCTCACTTATCATCCCCTATCAGGAGACTGGAATTAAAAGACCCTGAGCACCTGATTTCAGTTTTGTTTCTCTGTCTACTAGCACACTTCAGCACCTCCTGCATTATCATATCACAAAGAGCCATGCTGTGTTTGATGGGACATTAGTACATGTACAAGATGAGGCAAATCTCTATTCACATCAAATTCTAGCATTTTCAGGCAGACTCATCACTGGTCCAATGACAAAGACAGCATCCTGCTGTTTACCTGTTCACAAGTGTGAAAATGCGACTTCAGCGTTATCTGAAGTCTTGAAACCACCTGGTGATGATCACCAGCAGTTCTGCTGGTAACCCCCAATTAGAGTTCCTCTCTGTTTTAAAGGCCCTCAGCTTCACTGAACTAACACAGATCCAAAGCCTGAGATTTTAATCTTGCCTTGATGCCCTTATATGTTCAATGCACCTGTAAAAGAGATCAGTTAATCAATTTCATCCAGAAGAAAGCTCTCTGCATAGATTACTTGGTAAATTAAACCAGCCAAAGGAATTGCCTGGAGGCCTATGCGAGACATTTGCTGGACAAAGCCTACTTGTGTTCCAGACAAGTTTCCAGTATGTTTCCAGTTAAACCCCTGACAAATACTCCATAAGCTAACTTTGGTCTGTAAAATACATTCTGACTAGGATGGTTCGTCATGAATGTGGGTCTTAGCTGAATTCCCAGCTCCATGTCAGCACTGAGAACATCCAGTGCGTAACTGGACTTTCCTTTTCCGAAAGAAATTTGCGTGTATTGGACCAGAAAACAGGTTAAACATGATTAAAGGTCATTTCCATGAGCACGACAAAAAAAAAAATACTTGAACTCTGTATAACACAGGGTTATATAACAGTTTTGCAGCTAAAAGTCATAATAGTGATTTTCTATTTTCGTTGCCACATAACAGATGCCAATCCAGCTGGCCTACTCTCCCTTCGGACATGGCCTTCCCTCCCCCAGTCCCAGAAGGAGAAGATGAGAATACAGAGGAGCAGAATATTGTAGGAAAACAATTGGCTGGATACTTTGGTCCCATATGTCTACATAGCACTATGTGATGAGAGGTATCTAGATGCTGCCTTTGTGCAAAGGATGTGAGTGGCACAAAGCTGCAGAAGCAGCTCTGACCTCTCCTGCACTGAAACCATTTATTTCTGTATATAAAAAGAAACAGCGAATGAGTCAGAAATGGGGAGAGAGAATATGGGAAAAGGAGAGTCATGTTTCAGAGCAGGAAAAGGACAGGGAAGGAGCACAGTTCTGCAGACACGAACAGTTAGTCCAGCTGTCCCCGTCACACCATTATACAAGCAGTACAAACTGAAATGGTTTCCTGCAACATGCAGCTACCCCAGCCATATGAAAGCCAGAAAAGCGCCCTGACTGCACTTCAGTGAACAGTAGAGTGACATTCCCAAACTTAAAAAAGAGCAAACCCTTGATCACTACTTGTCAGTTATCCTGGCCTGCCTCACCCCTCCTTGTTCCACATGGCCTCAGGATTCTGGCAAGGAAATTCAAAAAATAAAAATCACATTTCCCGTACTACCAAGTATTGCAGCACACCATATGCTCACGTATGACCTTCCACACGTTATTCTGTACATAAGAAACTTTATTCATAAGTGAGAAAATCTGTTTCTACTCACCCCTGATGAACTTGGAAATGAAATCTTTGTCCAAGTGTTTTTCTTCTGCTATACATTCACACCAGCTTATTATTGCAGAATTGCATGCGAGTGCTGAGCTGTGAACATTGGTTTGCAGTTGTGTGAATGGTTGCAAAGTGCTGAGTTCTGTACAAAATAGCTTCTTACTTCAAAGTTTCTCAGAAGAGATCTGGGTTGTTTGCACAGATTTGCTATTCTGGCATTGCTTACAAATGCTGAACTGTGAGAGACATGTTTGCTATAGAACGAAAGATCTTACATTTTAGAATTTTACTTTATTTTTTGCAAGGAACCAAGTATCAATTGTACTGGGAAAAAAATTAAAACAATTTCACAGTTAAACAAATTTTACAAAGAAATGAACATCTTAATTCTTTGTTTCATTCAACAAGCACAAACTTGGGCTTCTTCTTTCTAATATCCTCAATATAAAATGAGAACCAGAATAGGATGAGAAGCTGCATTTACAAATGTAGGAGATACTAATAGAGGCAAAAATTTTTACAGGGGTTCTGCCACAAGGCATTTGAATGCAATTTGGATATTTAAATTTGCAATATGCATGTCAAAAACTCACTTTCAAATAAGAAAAAAGCAGCCAAAAATCAAGTGTAGTTACCTTAAGTGCAGCTACATTAAGCAATGAAGTTAGAGCTGACAAAAAAGAACAGAGCATTTCTAAGGCAAATTTCTTAGAATTTTTTAATACATTTTTCAAAACATTTTCTTAAAGAGTAGTTTAAATTATTGCTTCATAATGGGCAGATGTATGTCTGTGTAGAAATCCTGCCTTACCCAAGGACACATATTTCCACAAGGATATTTTAGATATATGGTAGCTGCACTAGTCCTGAAATACACAAAGACCACAGTTGCATCTCACAGCAAAACCTTCCCTAAAACTGGAAATCATTTGTTTTGTTTAGCAGACCTTGACCATTTGGTGTTACTCAGAACTAAACAAGTCGAGGATTTTCCATCAAAAGATGATGCTGCATTATTGCTGTCAAGACGAAATTGCTGCCTCTGTCCTGCTTTCAATTACTGTACAATTGGGATCACTTATTATGACATCTGGTTGCTCCAATCTGTGTGATACACTGAGTTCACTGTCTAACAATTTGGTGGTAAAGTTCTGAGCAACCAGTGTGTGAATGGGCACCACACCATAACGTTCACCCTTCAGCTGCTTTTGCAGCTAAGCAGCTTCTTTTCTACTACCTCTTCTACCTTCTGAGCTTCTTCCTTCTAGGGAATGGACTCGTATTTTTTGACTATCTCTCATACAAATGTGCTATGCAGCTTCTGGTATGCTGTCTGTTCAATGCACATGTTTCCACTATACATTTTCACATAGCTCCATAAAAATGTACAATTAAAAAAACAACAGAACACAACACTGAGAACAGTAGACCTTTCACTGTGCCTGTGAAACATGATTTATCCAGTTCCTAGTCGGATGTGTTATTGGAGATGGATGGGATGTGTGCTTGGAAATGGGTAAACAAATGTAACCAACTCTTCAGGTCAATCTCCTAGTTTACATAAACCTTCTGCTAAGTCCAAACATCCTTCTGTGTAGGAAACAAAAATTTGGCATCATTTTAGAAATGTTTACAATAAGAAATTATAAGTAAAGGGGAAACAGATCTAGATAAAGATCTTCTTGGACACATCTGCCAATCAAATAGCTGGCCTAGAATGCTCCCTCCATCACCATACAGCTGGTTGACTTGCAGCAGTAAAACCTGCCTGACAGCCCCATCTGGCTTTGTCAGTAACTATCCATACCTTGGAAAATGTACAGATAACACTGGTTACTGTCAGCAGTGGTACAGCACTAGTTTGTATAATGGGAACTCTTCAGATTTAGTTTTTCAAGTTCATGTGGCATGTCATTAAGCTTCAGCCTGTGGAGCAGCTTGTAAGGACAGGCTGTGTGTTTCCACAACTACCCACCATCCAGGGCCACATCCCTCATTATTCACAGTACAGTGAAGCTGATAGCCTGCTTTCCCTGTGTACTGGCAAAGGAAAACCTGACCCTGTTTTCACAGTCCCGTGCACTGCAACTATGTCAATGAATCATACTGGTGACTCACTGTGGTGTCTGTCGATTGAAAGCACTTTGTTGGATGCCTGCTCTTCAGAAATATTGCTGTAGAGGCCAGGTCTTCAGAAACGTGTTAATATTAATGTTGAGGGGTTCAAAATTGAATTTGGGTTTACAAAAAATCAACCTAAATTCTTGGAAAAGCAGATTCATTCTCTATCTCTACTGACCAATGCCTAAGAAGACAAGTTAAGAGTGCAAGGTTCCAACCTTCAGCTGTCCAGAGATTGCATCATTACCTCATCATGGTGTGGCATCACACTGCCGTAACACATCACGAGCTGCATCAATCAGGAGGCTCCATAATCACTGCAGGGAGCAGAATTCTCACCTCAAAAACTTTAAAAAAAGGTCTTGCTTAATGACATTTTTAAAACACAATATTCTACGGGTTCTGTGATTTCCTGAACACTTCAAGCATTTTTCCATTGATCAGTAAGGTAAGAAAAAATATAATTGAGATTCTTCGCTGGTCCTAAACACCAAAAAGCCTTGAAGTAATATATCAACCTCAAGCTCTTTCCATCAGGTTGTGAAATATGGCAATACTGACAAACCGGAGGGCGGCTTTCCACACCATCATAGTTAGCTCACTGCAGTATCCAGCCAAGAGAGGCTGAGTTACTACACAGACTCCTTTGGGCCCAATTTATGACATGCTATCCATGTGTCAATTCGATTTTTTTCCCATGGTTTTATTAAACATGACCAGATTTGGGGCCTTTGAGCAAGCATGAACTCTAGCTTCTTGTTCTTTTTATCTCCTTTCTTTATTTTAGTTTTCATACTTTCTGAAATTATCTTTTTCCTTCTTGTTATTCCCCAGGTCTGGGCTGCTGGGATGGAGTGGGGGTAGAACTGGTGGGCAGTTAATGTGAGGAATTCTTTCAATGCTGTGTGCTCAGCTTCTGGAGAAATGAGTGGTTTGCATGACATGATTATGACAGATTTAATTGCATCAGAATCATTCCCAGGAGTACAGTGCCTTGTAACAGGGTTTGGAAGCAGAAAGATTTCTTTCAGGCTTCAGCTATGGCCACAAGACACCTGCATCTTCAGGAAAAGACGCAGCTTGTGCTCAAATGGTGTGTCAGAGAGCCCTTCACCTCTTACCTTCTTATCTAAATAAGACCTGTAACAAGTTCAGAAGGTAGAGAAAAGACTGTCTATGAGCAACCTGGTGGTTAGAATCATAAAATCGTAGAATGGCCTGGGTTGAAAAGGACCACAGTTATTGAACTTCAACTCCCTGCTATGTGCAGCATCGCCAACCACCAGACCACGCTGCCCAGAGCCACATCCAGCCTGGCTCTGAATGCCTCCAGGGATGGGGCATCCACAACCTCCTTGGGCAAAAACCAAATATTGTCAGGAAAAACAGTTCTCATCTGCCAGCTGCAGTCCTGACTGCCACCCTCAAACTCCACTAGTCAAACTTGTGACGGACACATCACTTCCTTTGCAGACCACTTCCACTTATTAACAACAGGAAATTGACTCTGAAAGCCATGTGCAGGAGTAGTGTGGTGAGCCAACTTTGGCAGACTGCAGGAAGGAACACTTACTCTGAGAGCTCTTGCACTTAGTGCTCTGCCATGTTCTGCTTTGACTAGCGTGCCTCTTTCCCACTGCAGGTAATCAGCATCAAGACAAGTCCATCACTGTGGTATTTGCTTGCAGAAAGAACGAAAAGCCCTCCAAACAGTTAAAAGGTGTGACCTGTATCTCTGTGCTCCTTTGGAGCTACACAGAACTTAGTTGTACTAGCTAGTAGCAGGTTCTTGCTCTGTGTCCTCCACTGCACTGATACTAAGGAGCGAATATGCGTCATTACCACATCCATGCAGCAGTTCTGCAGAACATGAATATGTTTCAGTAACTGGCTGATGTCAGAGCTAATGACAAGTAGGGTCTGGATGATGGTTTTGATGACAAAACTTAGGTCAAGCAAATTGATACATCCTAATGGTAAACATAACAGACTTATACATGGGAGGAGACAAAGTCACTTAAAGAGTGCAATCGCTGAACCTTAGCCCAAAGCTATTTACTAGAAGTGAAATAATAAAGCAATTACTCAGGTGTCCAGCCACCACTGAGAGTACAGCTCATGGTCTAGCATCACATCTGACAGCTGCATTTCTATTACAATAGCTTACTGGCTGGGTAATCTTAGCCAATGTCTGATTTAAGCCATAGAGAATTTTAACAACTCTACAGTGTTGCCAGCTCTTTCATAAAAAAGGTTCTCAGGGGATGGGGAGGGGGCTCAAACGTAAATTGTCTTCTTCCTCCCATTTCTGTGGAAAGCAATGAAAGTCAGTGACTAAGGAGATCAATCACACCATGGTAATAGCAAGAAACAGAGAGCCACCGTTGTGAAAAGGCGTTGGGGCAAAACACGGAAACAAGTCAGCGATGATCCAGTGTCTGTTCTCAGAAGGAAGCATGGCTGAAAGGCAACCAGTGGGTATTTGGGCAGTAGTTACGAATAAAAAAGAAAGCAAAACAGATACGACTGACCCAAATCTTATCATCCCTCATTAGGCTGCATTACTGTCTCACCTCCTGTTTCTGGTTAGCTGTCATGGCTGAGAGCAAATTTGGAGGAAGGGAACAGGAATTTCCCTATCTTCAAATGCTCTGCATTGCAAATATTTCTCACCATTCAGACAAGTTCCTAAAAATAATCGAATTCTCATACCTTCACATGTTCAGAAGGTGATAAACAAGAATTTGAGGAGAATTTGTTAAAACTGCCATGGTTTCGTGGCACCATGATGAAGTATAATCACTGCAGCTTTCAGTTCTTTTTTTTTTTTTTGTACTCACAATAAATTAGATGTTATAAACACTTTGTCAAGCAAGCAGATTCTTCACTTTCAACACATGACAATTTACTTAAATTTCAGGCAGGTCTGAAATAATGTGGTTTTTTGGACAAGAACTACTTGCAGTTTAATTACTCAGAGCACTCATACCATACTGGAAATTATAAAGTAATCCCAAAATTATGGTGATGCTTAATTTTGCAAGAGCAGAAACAAAATAATCAAGAACCAACACAGCATTGTCAAAGCCAAATTGCATGAAACCACACTTACTCCCTGGTGCAGGAGAGCTATTGGCCTCAAAAAGGAGAGGTAATTAGATTTGCTTCTGACACACTCCCATGTGGTATTTTTCTGGGGAAAGTAGTGCAACACAGTTGAGATGGAACAGCAGGTAGTCCAACTGTATAAAAAACTATACATACAGTAGTCAGCTGTGTTTTGCTTGGCAAGTGCAGAACCCATTTAAGTCCGTTCCCACAGGCCTGGATCTAGCCAAGGTTTTTGTTGACAATTTGGATCAAACAGTGGATGTTACAGCTATAATGTCTGTCACAGTGCAAAGCTGGGAGGAATTGCAATCACTCTGCAGAGGACAAAATTTTAACATGATTTTGATTAGGTGAAGAAAAAGTTCAAAGCAGAAAGATGAAATTCAAGGAGAAAAACAAACCAGCACCCTTGAGAACAAAGCCATACAAAGTCAAAAAGAAGAACAGTTGCTTACTAGCAAAAGGGCAGAGAAACATTTGGGTGTAATGCGCATACACCGAGTCAGCAATGTGATGGCTTCAAAAAATCAACTTGTGCCAGATTATCAGTTTTGTTGTGGATTAGAGAAAAGCACATCTGGGTGCTGACAAAGAGGAGTATGGTGCTGCTTTAAAGAAACAAATGTACAGCAAGGTCAAGAGAGTCCAGAGAACGGAAGGGCTTTCTAGAAAAGGAAAGGTTGAAGGAACTGGAATGATACAGTCCAGAAGAAAGCTATGACAGAATGTGAGGAAATACGAAGGCAAAAGGCCTCTCCTGTACAAAAGGATGTTACCAAAAGGATAAAAAAGATTTGAACAAAAAGTCTCTCTGGAATTTATATCTGTTTATATTTGTTTATAATTAATGCTACCTCTGCAGAATGCATGACTTCTCAATGTGAAGTTTCATCTTCACATTTCTGAGATCTTTTCAAGTCATACAGGACAATATAAGCACATAATTATGACTTGCCTCAATTCAGGCATATAGGCTAGAAAGAAGCAGGAGAGAACATAGTATATGAGAGATTTAATTCTCCTCTTTAAGCAGCTTTCCTTCTTCCCTCAGTACACACAGCCCTATGCACCAACCAAATTGATACACACTCCTGAAACTTCTTGGGAAATTCCCAGCTTCCTCCTCCTTTTTATACACTACACGTTAAATGCTAAGACTGGCATTTTAATATTAGCAAACATCAGCTGAGCCATGGGACAGTTATGACAGCGGTTCTAAATAGTCCCACACCGTTGAAAGGATTATGAGAACGTGAGGCTGCCTTTGTCTGCACAAGACACCGATTCCTTTGTGGTAATGGGAGGCATTTGGAAACTGTTTTGTCTTTTACCTAGGTCTGTTCCATATTTTCAAAACAACAAGAACAGTGGAATAGAAATTATCGTTATTTAACTTTCAGGACTCCAGTTCCAGTGAAGATTGAAGTTAAGAAATCCAGACAGTTTTGGCAAACTGAAAACCAACCCAATAAATACGTAAATCTTCTGGCAAATTTAAGAAAATGAGATTAAATGAGAAAATGGTGCTGGCTATGGTGCTACTGCCCAAGCAGCAGTTTCATAGGAATAGATCCCATGGTTGTTGTCATTCACAGGTTGAAGACGACTCAACAACGTCAGCTGCTGTGAAAAATGCAGGCATGGTACTGAAGTGTCTGCATTGGGGTGAGGCCTGCACAACACACATAATCCTCCTTCTCACTCTACTATAGCACTGGTAAAGTTTCAGCTGAAACCAGATGCAGCTGTAATTGCCAATGCCACATGCCGCTGGGAGGCAGGAGGGGACACTGCCCCGAGCATTCAGAGGCTCAGGGAACACTGCCTGTAAGCAGGAATCAGGCAAACTGCATCCATCACAGAAAAGGGCAAGGGATGGGTTATGAGAGCAGTCCAAGAACATGAGGAGGGGAGAAATAAAATGCCTAAATGCCTGCAGAGAGGACAAGCAGTAATGGACTTCAGCTGCAGCATTAGCACTGTAAGTTATCATCAGAATGAACTGGTGAGGCGCACACACACTCTGTCATGAACATTCTTGGTCTTTGTGGATTTTGTGGGTTTTTTTTTCTTTAAGCAAATGGAAATGTTAGTTAGAGTGATCCTGCCTTTGGGCAGATGGAGAAATCTACAGCTCCTTTGAGTATGATTTGTTATAATATTTTAATATATTGAGTCTAATATATATAAAGAAAGAGTAACTGAG